ATATTTTCCGGTCCTCAATCGGACCTTACCGCGTGGCTCAGTTGGTGGAGCTTCGAAGGTCGTGGGTTCACTCTCCTCCGCGGAGTAATTAGTTAAACACGCGGATATACGGCTCTGCCACAGAATGACTCAGCGGAGGAGTATCGCGGGTTCGAAACCCAGCCGCGGCAGGCAAAATTTTCTGCTTGCGCGATTTGGAATCATTCACTCGAAAACATTTGATCCTATCGTATTACCGGCGAGTGAACAACATAACATCATTTGCTATGAGGTGTAAAGTCTACGTGATTAATTAGTAAAATCTACGTGATCACGTTGTGGTGTGCTATGTCCGCGGAGAGTGTGGATAAAATGCGGACACGGACTCGCGGACAGGCTGGCGAAAACGATATATTACTGTAAATCCACAACAAAAGACTCTAATATTAAGCATCTCTTAATACAAAATGAATAACATTAACAAAATTTGAGAAAATTAAAAAATTAACAAAATATTCTACTATTAGTAGTAACAGAATATGAAGACTACAAAAACATATTTTATAACACAATTATTCAATATATAATTCCTGCATGAGAGTGCATTTTAAATACCTGCCAATGTTTCAAAGATGTGTCCAGAGTTCCATAAGATGGAAAAAATACCAGCATCCTATCAGGAACAATCTGAGCAAAATTTACTACAACGAAAGGGAATTACGTGATTTAGAGAAAATATCTACTCAAGCGAGAGGAAGTGATTACCAACTAGCTTGGGGTAAGTAAGTGGGGGTATGCTAATCATCCAAAATGGATACCAGAGGGCCTATATAGTTGCATTTTTCGGAACTGCTCATGGTTAAGTTTAAATAAATATATAAAATTCTCACTCAAAATTTCCATCGACAAAACCCTTTAACATTAGTTCAGTCGAGTGCAGGGGTCGGTTGTTCAAAGCTGGGTTGAGTTTAACCCTAGATTAACCTAAAATTCAAAGCAAACTTCCTCACAGCTTGTCTATAAATTTGGAAATATTTCTTCAGATATCTTGTCTGGATCAATAAGAGTTTACTTCTCTGAAGTAATTAGACAAGTAGAAATACACGAACTATAAAACAACAAGTTTAATTTTAACCCAGGGTTTAATTTTAACCCAGGGTTAGCGCTAACCAACTTTGAACAACAGGCCCTAGATGCCCCAAATCCTGATAGTTACCCATACACCTGAATTACATTGGCACCACCTTAGCAAGGGTGGGTTGACTACAACATTTTTGTAGTTCGCTATAACTACAGCTACTTCAAAAATATGTAGTCAGCTACAACTACTGCTACTTTCGAACAAAGGTAGTTCGCTACTGACTACAGCTACTGCTTAAAAAATGTAGCGAACTATTTCGCTATTTCGCTACACTATATTTTTTAGCTTTACTATATTTGGAGCATCTACTAACCCAGGCTGTAATGTAGTAAACACAAACAGTAAACACAAAGCAACATTTTTGTGTTTAGGATGTTCAGGAGTGCAAATTGACTATCGAGTATTGATTTTAAGCAAACCGTGTCTCAATATCATGCTATTCTATCAAGTTGCAGTAACAATTTTAAAAAGTAGCGAATAGCGATTCGCTGTTTTAAAAGTAGTCAACTACTTGGCTACTTTTAGGCAAAATGTAGTTCGCTATAACTATAACTACTGTTTTAAAAAAGTAGTCAAAAACTACTGGCTACTTGAAAATTGTAGTTCGCTACAGTAGCGAACTACAACTACTTCGCTACAACCCACCTTTGCATGTCGTTAAATACATACATACATACATAATACTTTATTTTGACACGCTAGCCTCGTCAACATCAGCTGTTTTTCATGAGGGGCGTGTTAACAAATTACACAAATAATTTATACAAATTAAAGTTACAAAGGCAACGCAAATGACAGTCATTTGAATAAAAAGGTGAACGTGTTTATTTTAGGGGATGTAGTAGAATATAAGGTGCGGGAGGAAGAAAGGATGGAATTAGCCTATTAGTAAGAAATGACGATGGTAAAATTTAATTGTGTTGGCATATACCGTCCCTTCTGTTGTACCAGCAATACTTTTAAGAAACTGGTCGATGGAAACGTGTGGAGTCGGTATAACAGAATAACTACCTTATGCGTTGTAGTGACTCCAGTCTTTTAGCACAACAGGATATTTAAACATATTATATACAACAGAGGCCGCCATTGCGCTAGCAAATGGCTGCCAAAGTTTTGTTTTCTCTTTACTTCCGTCAGCAAAATCCGACACTGCTTTAATTACAGCCCATTCTATGCCAAGATCATACGTAGCAGCATATAGACCTAAAATTTAAGCACAAAAATGTAGACGTCTGTTCATGTCATAGGCATAGGGCCGTAGCAACCGGGGGGCTGGAGGGCTGCAGCCCCCCCCCCCCAATAATTTGCTAATAATCATTCTTTTTTCAAAATCATGCAGACCTTTATCATTTAATCCATGACAAACTGCAAAGAATGAAGATATTGCCCATACTTTCCTGCAACTTATCC